TCAGAGTCCATGGCACTATTGATTTTCTTGCTTCATGCTGTTCCCGATGCGCGTGGATGTTATGAGTATTATGGTGATTGTCAGTGGGTGCTGGATACTTGGTCGGCTCCTGAGTCCCATGCTGTCTCGGGCTGGGCCCCGCACGCCGACATTTGGAGGCGCATCCAGTTTAAAGCCCGTGATATCGGATATGATCTGATCTCTGTGCGCAAAGTGACTTCGCATTTAGACGTGATGCCGCCTGTGCAGGCGGCCTGGATGACTACAGGCAACGACTGCGCCGACACGTATGCCCGACGTGGGGCTGAGTTGCATCCCGTGGATTCGGATGCTATGACCCGCATTGCACGTTCTCGCATAGTGGTCGAGCATGTTGGCATGTTTGTGGCCCACATGGCCAGCAAGGGCCTTGCCAAATTAGATGGCCTCCCCCGTCTCCCTCGTCCTCCTCCTCCCCGTCGTGCCCCCTCTCTTTCCCTTGTCCTCCCTCCTCGGGGTGTGCCCCATGAACTGGTCTGGGATCAAGATGTCCAGCGTTTCCGTTGCATAGCGTGCTGGTATTCCAGCCGCCATAAGCATGCCCTAGCCAAACTCCCTTGTCCCGCCCCGCACGGCACGGGACATACAGTAATGAAAGCCGGCCCTTACATATTTTGTAAACTTTGTGGGTCGCATTCTTCGACAAATATGTCACACTTGTCTCGCCAGTGTTTGCGCAAAGCGGCTTCCAGAACAGGCCGCGATCGATTGGGCCGCCTGCTGGGCGGGCTTGACCCTAGGCGCAATGTTTCGCTGGGACCTGTCGTCCCTGCCACTCTCCGACTGTATCACGAGTTCGGGGATTTAGCTGCTGTGGACCCCCAGCTTGCGTGGGTTCCCCACCTTGCCAGCTTCACACGGTAAGCTGCTCGACGGTGACGGCCTCCACGACTATGATGCGATATTTAATGCGATATTCTTCAATCTCAGTAGGGTGTTGACAAAAGGGGGCGTGGCAAAAGGGGGGGGGTCTTGAGCCACTGCTGACTACTCATGCCGATGCTATGCCGATACTCCCCTGTCCCACGAAAAGTGGCCATTTTTGTTGGCAAGTGCGGCCCTTGCTGTGCTCCGCCTGCTGCCTGAAGCGGCAGCCACCGCCTGTGTGTTTCACCTTCTTCTCTTTTCGGACCTGCCTCTTCGGAGGCAGGCCAATCCATAGTCCACGCAGATCCGCGGGGTCAGGGTCCAAAAACACCGGGGATTTGCCACATTTCTGAAATTCGGTGCCACCCCTCACGCAGATCCGCGAGGTCAGGGTCCAAAAACACATGGGATTTGCCACATTTCTGAAATTCGGTGCCACCCCTCACGCAGATCCGCGGGGTCAGGGTCCAAAAACACAGGGGATTTGCCACATTTCTGAAATTCGGTGCCACCCCTCACGCAGATCCGCGGGGTCAGGGTCCAAAAACACATGGGATTTGCCATAGTTCTGAAATTCGGTGCCGCCCCTCACGCAGATCCGCGGGGTCAGGGTCCAAAAACACAGGGGATTTGCTACATTTTAAATTCGGTGCCACCCCTCACGCAGATCCGCGGGGTCAGGGTCCAAAAACACCGGGGATTTGCCACATTTCTGAAATTCGGTGCCACCCCTCACGCAGATCCGCGGGGTCAGGGTTCAAAAACACCGGGGATTTGCCACATTTCTGAAATTCGGTGCCACCCCTCACGCAGATCCGCGGGGTCAGGGTCCAAAAACACAAGGGATTTGCCACATTTCTGAAATTCGGTGCCACCCCTCACGCACATCCATCGCAAGGCGTGGTAACCCAAACTGCGAGTACTCCCTCGGCCCTTTAATCCCAAGGTGTGGTAACCAAGCTCGTAAACCATACACGTCTTACCAATCGCCCTGTGTGGTAACCCCTCTTGTGATCAGTTGGTTTTGCCGATTGCGAATCGGCCTCGCATGAAGTTCCGATACTGCTGCACGACAGCGCCAAAGCCTCATGACTTAGCTCTTCCATGGCCCATTCTCCGAGAGAGGGGGCCGGCGGCAGGGGGCGAAGCCCTTTCGGATATTTCTGCATGCCAATGCAAGGGCAATTTTCCTCTTCCGCTTCCCTCTTCTCCGCAGGCATGCCGTAGATGACGACCCCGTGATCCTCGGCTGGAACCCAATACCAATGAAACATCATGGCGCCCTCAGGCAGAGACGCAACAATCGCGCTGACGTTACTCAGAACTTTGTCGCTGAAATTCGGGATCAGGTGCGTCACCCTGCGCAAGTAGAAGGTCGGCACTACCTCGAGCGTGGCCGTGACGATGATACCGCAGAAGCCCAGCCCCACTGCGGCGGCTTTGAAGAGGGGATCCGACTTCTGCAAACTCTGCAAAGTCCCTTTGGAGTGTAGAATCTCAAGACCAGCGAGGCCTGCAGCGATGCTTTTGCCCCACCCGTTCTGACCGCTACCGTGTGAGCCCGTGGCGATCGCGCCGCCCACAGCCTGGTAGCTGATCGCGGAGATCATGGTGTTGAGAGATAGGTTGCGCTGAGTCAAGGCAACATTCAAGTCAGCAAGATTGATGCCGGCTTCAACTTTTATGTGCGCCTTCCCCTCGTCCCCGATCGGCGTCACCGAGAGAACTCTGTTGAGTGCCCGCAAACTGATGGATGTCCCTGGTCCCACAGTCTCAGATCCGGGAACGCTGATGTTGCTCCACGAGTGGCCGCTGCCGATCACCTTCAGCGGTATGCCATTGACGCTAGCATGTTGCACGATCTCCACGAGTTCCTCCTGCGACGCCGGCATGTGGAAGGCGCGCGGCGACCACTGGACATTCCCCATCCAATTAGTGCACTGTAGAGCTTCGCCCACGTGGCCCGCGGCATGCCATCCGCACCCTTGTGGAGATGCCGCATCCGCGGTGGCCTCGCTTTTGTGGAACAACACATGCCATGCGCCGTCAGTGTCTCCTGTAACTTCAGGTTGTGGCCGTGAGGAGGGAGCCGCCGCGCAACACGACAGCAACACAAACCATGCCAACGGGCCCATGGCCGAGCGGCAAACGACCGAATCTCTCAAACCTTCTGGGCCTCAACCAATACAGATGTGGCACATGTTGAATGTGGTGCCAGACCTGGTTTGCATCTAGGTGAGAGAACAATCTTAAGGCGGATCCTCCTGAGACAACGAGTTCCGAAACAACATGTCGCGACGGAAAGCAAGATCGTCAAGTACACATCTCTCACTTAACCGAGCGCAGAAAATGGCACCTCAATTCCTTGTGTATGCCAAAATCATAAGCCATAGGATTGTTCAAAGATCTCTGCTTCAAATCAGCCTTTTGCAGGGGAGCAAACAACTCAACACACACGAACAACAGACACAGACAACACAAAGAAAACAAGCAATCAACACAAAACGTCACAATACCACACAAACAACAGACAAGATCAGACAAGAACAAACTACACAAACTAACATTGCCAAAAGTCATGAACACATGGCACAAATCAACAAAAGTCATGAACTTAGGGCTAAAAATCATGCGAACAAAACCTAAAACGGAAACATACCAAAACATTGGGCCGACATCCAAAACACAGAACACTCCATAATTTCATGAAACAGAAATGGGCAACCCGGCCCGAAACCGCGGAACAACTCAGAAAAAAACGTTATCGGCCCGAACCAGACGCGCCACAATCGCACCGATGACGACATTGAGCCCGAATATTCAGGCGTCGAAGAGGACATCAGCAGGCTTTCCCTCGATGAGGTCGTCGCTGCGCAATCAGGAGAAGCGCTAACATAGAAAGAGGCAACGCTCGAGGAAGACTGTATGCAAGAGGCCCGAATTAAAGTAATGAGAGATGAATGGAATGAGACGAGAACCAAACCATGTGGAGAAGTATGTCACGAACAGAGATACCACAACTCATTTCTGTGAAACATCTGGCATGGAAGCAAAGAGATATCATGATGCAATTCACGATAATGTCATGTGTACCGAAAGGTGAAACAGAGGGGTAACGCGATGTGTTGCTCGCAGGGAAACATGAAACCAAGTGGTCACCCACCAGCAGGGAGAACACCACGTGGAAGCGCGCCACCTGCAGACACAAATAGGACGCGCCCATACAGTCTGAATGGTGATCGTGAGTTATACGTAGAGACATGCACAAACAGGGGGGTGCATATGGTAAGGGGGCGAAGCGAGAGACCGCGAGGGAGACCGCACGTTTGGCACTGCGAACTTGTGAAGTGTAAGGGTCTCATGTAGAGCACTCTGCCGATGTGGGGGTTTGCGGCAACATCAGATGCGGTCTTCCCTGGCTCAGCCCGCCTATACGTAGCGAGATGCACAATCAAGGGTGGCGGCGGACGCTAAGGGAACGAAACGGGAGACCGCGAGGGCCCGTTGCTCCCGCGGACGCGTCCGAGAGGGTAAAGGGAGACCGCACGTATGGTATTGCGAACTTGTGATGTGTAAGGCTCTCATGCACAGCATTCTGCCGATGTGGGGTTTGCAGTAGAATCAGATGCGGCATCCCATGGTTCAGACAGCGAAGTCTGCACTGGAACACGTAACGAGGTTCACATTCAGGGGCGGCGGCGCACGGTAAGGGAACGAAGCGTGAGGCCACGAGGGCCCGCTGCTCCCGCGGACGCGTTTGAGAGGGTAAAGGGCGAAGTCATGGACGGCAAGCATTCAGCCAGTGTGGGGTTTGCGGTTGAATCGGATGCGGTCTCCCCACGGCACGGTACGCGATGTGTATAACGTGGCGTCTCAGAGCCGCGCCTCAGTCCAGAACATGTTGACCCAGGATTCCCTCACACACCACATCCCCCTCCATCACTCTTCATGTTGCAGTCCTTTGGATCCATGTACGATTTTGTGTTCTGGGGAATCCTCCCGGAGGTTGCACCAGGCACCCGATGTTGCGTATATGCTTACGATGTAGATGGACAACCTACGTGAGCAGACATCAATCACCAGCGGTACGTATTTTGCATGGTTATGGTCTGCATGGACAGCGCGAGACAACGAGAACACGCGCCGACGTGGAGAAAATTGCCCCAGGATTCCGTGCACACGACCCGGCGGATTCCGCGCAAACGACCCGGAGGATTGTCTGTAATTCTGCAAAGTACAAGGACCAGAGGCGTGCCCGGCTAGTCTTGCCTGAGTCGAGACTAAGCATGTTTAGCCTGTCAAGAATAGACGTCTGCGGTCCTTCGAATTCGCCACCAAAAAAGGCCGAACCACAGAAGGCGACAATACCGCGCTCACACACATCCACACACGCACACACGCACCTGCACGGACACACAGGCCTCGGATTTGGCAAAAAGCAAGATCCTGGATTTGGGCACAGCGCTGAATCCTGGATTTGGGCAACGAACAGAACCCTGGATTTGGGCAAAGTGCGGAATCCTGGATTTTCGCAAGGTGCAGAACCTTGGATTTGAGCAAGGTGCGGAATCCTGGATTTTGGCAAGGTGCAAAATCCTGGATTTTAGGAGAGTGCAAAATCCTGGAATTTGGCAGAGTGCGGATTCCTGGATTTTCGCAAAATTGCGGCGCGCTCCGCGATCATCGCCAACGCCCGTGCGCTTCATTCGCCAATCCGCGCGGGGCGCTCCGCGAACATCGCCCGCGTCCGCGCACTTTATTAACCAATCTCTGCGGTGCGTTCCGCGATCACCGTCAACGATCTCGCGCTTCAACAACGAATCTGTGCGGCGCGCTTCGTGCTCATCGCCAACGTCCGTGCGCTTCATCAGCCGATGATCGCGGCGCGCTCGGCGGTCATCGCCAACGTCCGCGCTCCCCATTGGCCAATCTCTTCGGCGCGCTCCGCGATCGACGCCAACAACCACGCGCTTCATTAACCGAGCTCTGCGGCGCGCTCCCCAATGATCGCCACGACGTCCGCGCGCTTCCATTAGCAGATCACTGCGTCGCGCTCCGCGATCATCGCGAACGCCCGCGCGCTTCCTTAGCAAACCCTTGCGCCTGGACCGGACCGACCGACCGGCCTCTTTTTTTTGGGGGGGGGGGGGCGCTGGGAGGACTCTCCCGTCCGCCGGAAATCGTCGTCCCAGCGACCTATTGTTTTGTTTTTTTTGGGGCGTGGTCGTTGGGAGGACTCTCCCGTCCGCCAGAAAGAGTCCTCCCAGCGACCACGCCCCCCCCCCCCCCCAACAAAAAAAAGAGCTTGGGCTTTGGGATCCCACCAGGGTGAAAGTGCCGGAAAAGTGCTGCCCAATGATGGGGTCGAGGTCCCGCGAATCGTTTCCTGAGGGCCCCTCCCGGGGGTTTTCTGGTCAAAAAACCCAAACACCGAAAATACTTTTCGTGTGTGTGGTGTTTGTCCAATGACCCAAGCTTGGGCTCTGGGACCCCACTAGGGTGAAAGTGCCGGAAAAGTGCTGCCCAATGATGAGGTCGTTGCCCCGCGAATCGTTTTTTGAAGGCCCCTCCCGGAGGGTTTTTGGGCAAAAACGTAGAAATACTTTTCGTATTTTGGGTGTTTGTTCACTTACCACAGGTCAAATGTCCTCCTACCAAATTGACGAGAGGGGTTACCAAATTTCCATGGCCGCTACCGCGGCCATGGAAATTTGGTTGGACCACTGCGGGGCCCGCGGCTCCTTGGGGGTCTGCTGGTCACGTGGTCCGCCGTGAGCCCACGGGACCCGTCTTCATCTTGGACGGGCGTCCTCTTGGTTACAAGCTCACTGTTGGAGATTTACCCAGCGAAACGACCGCAGACGAGGTCCGCGGCGCACGTTGAGCACCCAAGAGACCTGGTGGGGACGTATTTTGATGTTTGTTGCGCAGCGCGTAAACACACACGTGCACTAGACCATGTGTAGACCAGTTGGTGGGCCCGCATTTTGGTCTACACGTGGTCTAGCCCGTGTGTGTCCTTAGTTGGTGGCGCAGTTTGACCATGTTTCATCCGTCTGGACCAGCAAGGTTGGGACTAGACCATGTGTAGACCAGTTGGGGGGCCCTTATTTTGGTCTACACATGGTCTAGCCCAAGTGTGGCCTTTGTTGGTGGCGCAGGTTGGCCATTTTTCACCCGTATGGATCCACGCCAGGCCGGACCACATGATTCTCCACCGGGCGGTCGGTGGCGCGCGGTGTCCCGCCAGTGTCCCGTCGGTGTCCCGATGATGATGATGTTGATGATGTTGATGATGATGATGGTGCTGATGATGATGATGGTGATGATGATAACGATAGAGAGACCGAATGTGAGATCGATAGTGAGATCGAATGTGAGATCGATTGTGAGATCGATTGTGATATCGATAGTGAATTCGATAGTGAGACCGAAAGTGAGATTGATTGTGAGATCGATTGTGAGATTGATAGTGAAATCGATTGTGAAATCGATTGTGATATCGATAGTGATATCGATAGTGAGACCGAATGTGAGATCGATAGTGAGATCGATAGTGAGATCGATAGTGAGATCGATAGTGAGACCGAATGTGAGATCGATGGTGAGATCGATAGTGATACCGATAGTGAGATCGATAGTGAGACCGAATGTGAGATCGATAGTGAAATCGATAGTGAGACCGAATGTGAGATCGATAGCGAGATCGATAGTGAGATCGATAGTGCGGTCGATAGTGAGACCGAATGTGAGATCGATTGTGAGATCGATAGTGAGACCGAATGTGAGATCGATAGTGAGACCGAATGTGAGATCGATAGGGCAATTGTTAGTGAGACCGAATGGGAGATCGATAGTGAGATCGTTAGTGAGACCGAATGTGAGATCGATAGGGCAATCGATAGTGAGACCGAATGGGAGATCGATAGTGAGATCGATAGTGAGACCGAATGTGAGATCGATAGTGAGATCGATAGTGATATCGAGAGTGAGATCGATCGAGTGCGACGTTGGTCCCTCCCCCCCCCCTCACCTCCTTATCACCCGCAGGGTGGTCGTATAGGTATGATTTGTAACTACGGCGGGCTTCTTCAGAGCCTCGCAGACTGCCGACGTCCCCGCCGCCTCCGCACTCTTATCTGCGACTGCGTTGTGCTACGTCTCCTATATTCTTATCCCCTTTCCCTGTCCCCACCCCGATCCATATATGGCTATGTCCCTATCGGAGGTGAGGGGGTGAGATCGAAGTGGAACGGAGAGCCCCCCTACCGGGAAATCGATTTCGGTTTCGTGTTCGTGCGTGCCGTGCGTGCGGGCGAGGCGAAGCTGCGTGGGCGGGCGAGAGGAAAGTCTCCTGTGGGTGAGGCGCGGCCGGACCAAATGATTCTCCACCGGGCGGCCGGTGGCGCGCGGTGTCCCGCCGGTGTCCCGGTGGTGTCCTCTGTGGCTGAGCGCGGCCGACCAAATGATTCTCCACCGGGCGGCCGGTGGCGCGCGGTGTCCCGCCGGTGTCCCGCCGGTGTCCCGTCGGTGTCCCGTCGGTGTCCCGATCATGATGTTGATGATGATGATGATGATTGATGTGATGATGATGATGATGATGATGATGACGTCGATTGTGAGATCGATTGTGATATCGATAGTGAGACCGAATGTGAGATCGATTGTGTGAGACCGAATGTGAGATCGATGTGAGATCGATTGTGAGATCGATAGTGAGATCGACAGTGAGACCGAATGTGAGACCGAATGTGAGATCGATTGTGAGATCGATTGTGAGATCGATTGTGAGATCGATAGTGAGATCGATAGCGAGATCGATAGTGAGATCGATAGTGAGACCGAATGTGAGACCGAATGTGAGATCGACTGTGAGATCGATTGTGAGATCGATAGTGAGATCGACGGTGAGACCGAATGTGAGACCTAATGTGAGATCGATTGTGAGATCGATTGTGAGATCGACTGTGAGATCGATTGTGAGACCGATAGTGAGATCGACTGTGAGATCGATAGTGGGATCGATTGTGAGACCGAATGTGAGACCGAATGTGAGATCGACTGTGAGATCGATTGTGAGATCGATAGTGAGATCGACAGTGAGACCGAATGTGAGGCCGAATGTGAGATCAATTGTGAGATCGATTGTGAGATCGATTGTGAGATCGATAGTGAGATCGATAGCGAGATCGATAGTGATATAGATAATGAGATCGAATGTGAGATCAATAGCGAGATCGATTGAGTGAGACGTTGGTTCCCCCTCCCCCCTCACCTCCTTATCACCCGCAGGGTGGTCGTATAGGTATCCCTATTCCTGTCCCTACACGTATCCCGATCCCCTGTCGTGGCCCCCCCCCTGTGGCCCTCCATCGCAACGCCCCATTGTGGCCCTCATCGTAATTAATTGTGCAAATCAGCTTGGGGTCGTCTGCCGCAAGGGTGTCATTGTTTCGTCGCCAGTCACGGGGGCGGCCGGCGAGCTGGTCGACGACGTCCGAGACCAGCGGACCGCTCCCCTCCCCTCCCCCACGCCGCCGCCGCGGGGCGCTCAGCCGAAGAGGTCGAAGTCCACGTCCTCCTCCTCCTCTTCCTCCACGGCGGCCGCCTTCTTCTCCTCCTTTTTCTCGCCGCCGCCGCCGCCCGCCGCCGGCGCCGCGGCCGTGACGTTCGCCGCCGCGTACGCCTCGGGGTCTTCCAGGAACTTCTTCACGGGCTCCATCTGCTCGAAGGTGAAGTCGATCTCGGCGCAGAGGGCACAGACGTTCCTGAAGGCGTTCCCGAACGCGTGGGGCAGGCCGGCCTCCGTGGGGATGCCGATCTCGCGGCTGAACGCGGCCATGTTGTTGAGGCCCGCCAGGAACTTGCCCACAAGCTGCTCTGGCTTCACGTCGAGCACCGCAGCCGAAAAGGTGGAGCCGTCCTGTGGGGGAACGGCATGCGGCGGGGGGGGCCGGCTCAGGGGGGAAACATCGAGCTGGAATCGGCGATGTGTCCCCGATATATCGGCGATATGCCCCTGATAACCAATCTGCATGTCCTCGGGCGGGCCGGGTTATCAGGCCACTATCGACGATGAATGGGCGATTGGGGGTCGATGCATCTGTTCCCCTGAGCCCATCCCCCCCTAACGTTGCCCCTGACGTCCTGGAACACCTGCTGCACCTCCATGCCGTACTCGAAAGGCTTCACCCCGAGCTTGCCGAGGAGCACCGCGCCTCCGGGGGACACCTTCTCGCCTGCCTTCAGCACGGGCGTCTCGGCGACCAGCTCGATCTGCCCCTTCACGATCTTGGTGCCGATGTTGAGGGCCTGGAAGAAGGCCGTCTGCGACGGGTCCATGCCCGTGGGGCCCGCGGGCAACGAGAGATCGACCTGGGCCAACTGCCCCGCTTTCGCCGCGGCAGGCAGCCGGTACTTCTTCAGTGTCTCGCGGATGTCGTCCAGCTGGCAATTTGTGGCGAAGATGAATCCCATGTTGCCGTTGATGCCCGCCCTCAGCTGGTCAAGCCCACAGCCAGGGTGCTGTTCTGCGCCGAGCAGCAGCGCCTTCCGAATCATCGTGTTCTTTCCCATGAGCACGACGGCCTTGCCCCGGAGTTCGATCCGGATCTCCTGCATCTGCTTCGAGCGCACGTGGTCCACCCCGACGAGCAGGGCGCCGTTCTTGCTGTTGACGCAGAGGTCGACCAGCTTCTTGAAGTACTCGGCCTTCTTCGCCAATTTCTCCGCGTTCGGCATCCTGGCGGGCGCCGGTTGTCGCACCTCTTGCGGGCAGACTTTCTGAGCGTGGGCTTTAGGTATTCCCGCTTACGCCAATACAGCTTGAGCCAAAATGGCTACGGACAAACATATACTGAGTATTGTATGAATGCTGATGCTAATGAAGATAACTGTGCTCATAATGATGCTGCGGATGTTGCTGCTGCTGCTGCTCATGATGATCCTGATGATGCTGATTCTGATGCTCGTGACGATAGTGATGGTGTTGATGTTGGTTTTGGAACAGCAGCAGGGAAACCGGGAAGGATACGGATGGATGGATGTCCCTCCCTCCCTCCCTCCCTCCCTCCAGCACCTCCTGCTAATTCCTTCGCCTGCAGCTGCTCCTCCCCCTCCTCCTCCCCCTCCTTCTCTTCCTCCTCAGCCTCACCGTGGGGTGTTCGTAAGCGAGCATCCCCAGCATGATGTTGAGGATTGGCTTCCGGCCGGTACTTCTCTTCGTCGCGGGGTCGGCCTTCATGTCGCGGGTGTCGCGCCGCACCGTGTCGGACAGCTGTTTGGTGCGCAGCTGGTCAGCCAGTCACTACGGGCCGCCTGCCATACTAGTCCCTGGTACCGGCCGCGCGTGGTCCATGGCCAATGCGGAAAAGACGGACATGCCGTCCACAACCAACTCGACTGGTACAGCCAAACCTCCCTCCTCCCTCAGCCTCCTTATCTCATATGCTGAGTGGGGTCCGCGCGCCATCTCGTGAAGCGTAAGGAGGTGCGCCTGTGGGCCGTCTGCTGCTCCACATGCTGCCAGCAGCTCGGGGCCGAATGAGGATTTACACACAAGTCTGTGCGATCAGCTCACAGCGTCGAGCAAGTGGCAGATCTGTTTACCAGTGCTGCGACATTTGCCCAGACGCATGTATACAGCGCCACGCATGCCATATCCTGTCCTCTCCTCGTGCTTGAACGAGCCGTCGCTGTGCGCGCAATTCTGGCCTGCGCACTCCTTCGCCGGAAGGGCGATGCGCGCTTTGATCTTCTGCGTGGCGAGGACAACGGAGTTGAAGCCCTGGGCGCATCCGTGCAGCCCGTGCCCGTCTTGGTGCAGCGCAGGCGCTGGGTCCGCTCGTCGAAAGACTCGCGGCTTGGGGCCTGCCTGAGGGCGGCCGCGCTGCTGGGCGGCGGGGTGAAGTTCACCTCTCTTGGTGCTTCGCCCTGCATGGGTCATGCCCTGCAGGGGCGCTTTCTCGACGCCCACGGCGACGTGCCCGGTCGTTGCAAAGACCCGCCTCTGTGGGCATAATGCGCCGAGACGCCCGGTTCGCCGCGCCGGCGAACGTCTCCAGAGCTTCGGCGCCCATGTCGCGGGGGCCCCTCAGCGCAGCGCGGCGCGGGGTGATCCTAGCGGTCTTGCCGTTCGACCACGTCCGGCGCTTCCACTAGAACGCGCGCCTGGGGCCCGTCACGTTCGGAGCGCCTTTGAGAGGGCGTCGCTCGAAACACTTGTGCCTGTCCCAGATGGTGAGCTCCTCGAGGATGGCGGCGGCCACCTCCATGGTCAGCCTCGACACCTCCTCTTTGGTTCGGAAATCGTTGCCGCGCTTGATTGCCGCGGTCTCGGCGGCTGCGTGGACCTGAGGCGCGGCTGTGGTGGGCCCGCGGGCGACGTAGTTGCCGTCGTGGCAGCTCAGGAATGCTTCTCGTGCTCCTGGGTCCAAGTGCAAATCCACGCGTTTTCCTCTGTAATCTCCTCCTCCAGCTCGGCGCAATCGTCTGAAGTGGCGCCGCGCAGGTAGTGGTGACGCTGCGCGTGGAAATTCTGACGCTGGTGCTGAGTCTCCAGGTGCTAGGGCCGCTCGCGCGGCCTGCGGCCTATGCTGGCGGCCGCGTGCTCGACGGAAGCGTAGACAATCTGCTTGCTGTCGGGGTCCTCCAGCTCCTGCAGCTCCTGATCCAGATCCTCGGCGCCCTCGACCTCCTGCCAAGCTGTCAGCGTCGCCTGTTGGATGTGGCCGGAAAAATCGCTGTCGGCCTCTTCGGGCATCGCCGACAGGGCTGATGGTGAACCACCCTCGGCGACGCTGGCGGCGTCCTCGGGAGCGTCGATGACGCAGTCGTCAAACGTTTCGCCCTGGCCGCGCCTGGCGTCGGCTGCCAGGAGCTGTTCGCCACCCAGGACAAATTGGATGATGTGGGCGTCCTTCCACTGCTGGTCGATGAGGTTTTGGGTGTCGAACCTGACGCCGTGCAAATGCAGTGGGTGGACGTCGTTTGGGTTTCGAGGGGGACCACCAAAGGACCAGACTGCGGTTGCAGCCCGGCCAGTCGCCCACAGGTTTCTGATCTCGTACGAGACGCACGGCACGAACGTCTAGTAGCTGGACGCATCTGTGGGACATGTGGCGCAGAGCATCGAGGACATCATGGCGTTGCCGAGTCTGCCCGGTCAGCTGCTTTCCCTGCACGTCCTCCCAGTGGCCGAAGGTCCTGGCTCCTGAGCCTGGCGCGACATGCCCAAGGATGTCCTCCCCGCGATCCCAAGCCAGTTCTGCTCGCGCCATGCCAGTGCTCATGTCGTTGAAGACGGCGCCGATGAAGGTCCTTGCGTCCTACAGTAAGCGGGCCATCTTGGTGTTGCGGTACTTGACCGCAACCTTGCCTCTGGCTGAGTTCACCAGAACGGCAATGCCAAGGCCTGCCCAATCTGACGCGTACTTCGTGCTAGGAAGCTGCTGGATCTCCACCTGATAACCCGCGTCTCCGGTCTCGGTGGCGCGTGTCCGGTGGGCGCGGTTGACGCGGGCGATCCAAGTGGCCTCGATCATGCGCTGCAGGGCGATATCACGAATGCGCAATTGCAATCGGCTGGGTTGCGCCTCGCCACCGGTGGGCCTGGCTGCGGCGACACAGTCGCCCTCGACCTAATCGTCTGCTTTCGAATGGCGGCAGCGTGGGGGGCTGCCTGCCGAAGACGACGTTGCGCAGCGTAACGCCGCCCACGTAGGTGAGGCTGTTGCCCTCAAAGGTAGCGTGGGCCAGCGTGGAGTCGAAGTTGGCGGAAGTACCTTCGTGCGCTGGCTGCTCCTCGGCGGTGCGCGGTGCACGTCGTAGCCTTGCTCCGCGTCGCTTTATGAAACGAGCGCGCTGGCACGGAACATGGATGTCCACCTGGGCCCATCTCCTACTCATCTCCTCTACGAAGTACTTGGAGGTCACCCCGCCTTCGTCGTCCACGATGAAGGTCTCCATTGATCTCGATGGCTGGGTCCATGACCTGTCAAAGGCTGCCAGCAACGTTGACTAGTATATGTCCTTGATCTTCTGGCCATTGTGCCATCTTGAGGCACAGCAGATCAGGTGCACTATCATGCGGTCCTTGTAGTGACGGGTATTGTAGTCAAAGTGCTGGATGACTTGTGTCGAAAGGCGTCGTGAGGGAATGAATTGGCGCGCTGGTGGTAGCCGCTTACGGCATTCCCGGAAATTGTTGATCACTGTGGTGGTGAGGTCAAAGACTGCCTGCGCCATGTTGGCTGCGGGCCGCGGGCAGTGCTCGTGCCATCTCCTCCTCAATGGAATGCCACCGCCAGAGATGTAGCTTGCGCAACTCTCGCATGTGCGTCTCGCCCGAGTCGTCGCGTAGTGCTTGCTGTGGCGTTTTGATGTCAAGTCGAGTCCAGTCTGCAGGCGTTGGGTTGCCTACAGCAGCATCGGCAGCTCGTGGTGCCGCCCGTCTCGGTGCCGTGCCGGCTGCCGGACTGGCTCGCAGTTGCCAGAATCCTGAGCCCCAGCGCTGCAGGAGGAACTGGCTTCTGGCGTGCTGGGTGGTGCCAGTGGTAGTGCTGCCTCGTCTGCTGCTCCGAGGTCGTCTCTGCCAGGTATCTGAGCCTGTTGATCGCTGGTTGGGCGTGGTCCTCCAGGTCGTGCTGGTGCTCGGGGATTTTGGCTGGTACGTGGGCGCGGCCTTGCATGGGGATCCGCGAGCCTGCGCTTGCTGAGCTCGTGGGCGTGTGCTGGATGGTCGCGTTCTTTCTCATCGTGGCAGCCTGGGAATTCCCAATGGATTGCCGGGGCGCTGCGAGGCTACCAGCAGGTGGCGGGGTCTCGGAAGTGCCCGGGATAATCTGATCGCATGTTTCGTCGGCGCGCCTTGCGCGAATAGCCTGCGCGCTCAGCGGCCATGGCGTTCAAACATTCGCCCTCTGTGGCTCCTGAGGCCACTGCTCGAAAGGCTGCAGTATTGGCATCGCATTCGCGAACATAGTTCGCCGGCGTCTCAGGCGCCGGCGTAGGTCCGCGATGCCCTGGACGAGCCGTTCGGCCATCTGCCATGGCCAGACGTGGCCCTCGATGTGCACGTGTGTGTGTGTGTGCTTGTTGGTGCACCTGAGGTTCACGAGCTGCTCGAGGATTTCCGGAGCGTCGGAGACAGGGCTGGCGGTCTTTCTCAAAATTCTCCCGTGACGATCGAAGTCCCAATTGGCGCTGGTGGAAGATGACCTTATGTATTCCTTGTGCTGATGGTACTCCGGGCCAGGGCGGCTCGGAGTACAGCTGCGATGGGTCGGGCTGCTCGTTGAACAAATGGCCGCCGAGCTGCGGCTGCAGCTGTGCTATGTAGCGGCAGAATCGTCCATGAAGTGCTGCGTTCTGGTAGGAACGTAGCCAAGTGCGGTAGTTGCACTTGCTGTTGAAAGGTGGCCCGACGACCGAACGGACGGCAGGCGGGAACCATGATGGCTACGAGGGGCCCGTGCTGTCGGATGTATCGCCCCACGGCTCTCTCTGGCTCTCGTCTGTGAGGTCGCAGCCCGATGCCATGTCGAAGTTGGCGCCCACCCTATGGCGGCGGCGGGCAGCGAATTGGCTGGTCCGCGTTTACCCACAGCATATCTCCATTATGTCAGTGCCTGGATCGGTGGAGATGAGGGAAGTGAGAAGGCGGTGAATGTCGTCGGACTCGGTGGACAGTGACGTTTGTACTCTCGTCCGATGGCGTTCCGATGGAGGGCCGACGAACCCTGAAACCGCCGCGCGGGCAAGCCTGTGGCAAGGCTGCCGTGGAGGTCGTCGTCGTCATCGCACTCGTCGGCGTGAACCGGCTCGCCGCTGGCTCGGAAGCCC